TGCCTTGACGGTCGGGCTGCCTTGCTGGTCGGGCTGCCTTGCCGGTCGGGCTGCCTTGACGGTCGGGCTGCCTTGCCGGTCGGGCTGCCTTGACGGTCGGGCTGCCTTGCCGGTCGGGCTGCTTCGTCTTTGCTGGAGTATATGATGTTGTTGTACTTGTCGCCCCAAGCAGACCAGGTCGTGACCAGACCTTGTCAACCACGTTTGTTACAGCCGAGCCTCCGTTACAGAGGCATCACTGGCCATGGCACCAGCCAAGTCACCGCTTCGGACGACATCGAGCTGTACGGGGGGCAGGTAGAGTCGTGTGGCTAGCGCTGCCCGTCGAAGCGTGTGAGGCCTTGTTCCCGGGAGGCCCACTGAACCGCACACAGTTAAAACCCCATTTGTGAATGACCTACGACTGTGCCTATCTCGGTAGTCAACGGTCCAACCTAACGGACAGCCATCTTCATTCAAACATTGTTGCGAGAAAAACCGGCTAGGATTTCGTATTGTTCCAATACTTTAGAATTTCCGCCCCCATGCTGCTAGCAGCACTATGGCAATCGAACACGCATGCGTACGGACGATAACCCGTTCTTTTGTAGGCAGTGTAGTATTGCGCGAGTATTTCCTCATTGGTGTTGAAATCAATTTGCTGCCCCCACCTTACCCACTGATCTGATGGGTTGTGGAAGGTGGAGGAGAACGAGGCCTTGATGCAATCGCAATCTGGACGTGCTACGTGGGGAATACATGCGTCGCCACTTGTCACATAGCTGCAGTTATCGTTGTTTACTAGGTATTTATCAATTTCAAAGCCCAGCTGTCTCTTTTGATCCTCACTAGCGTGTTCCAGGTCAACGCCGGGAATCGATCTGCCGACCTCCTCCGCGACTCGAACAGCATACAACGCCCGTCCAAACTCGCAAGTGTTGCACCGATAACCGCATTGGGAGTGGGGGGGCTTCAGGTAGTGGATGACCGCCTCCCACACGGTCTGGGAATCGAACTTAAACGGGAAACCATAGAAATGGCACGTGGGTTCCTCGCTGATGTCGTCAGCACAAACTATGCTGCCGCCATAATACAGACAATCCTCCATTTCGTAACGGTCCCAGGTCAACTTGCTCCAGCCTTCTAACGTCGCAGGCACCATATTTGTCCCTTTTGCCGATCTCAAATTCTCGTATTTCTCTTGGCAAACATCCGGCGGCACTCTCAGATCCGCCAACTCCGTCTTAGAAATAAGCGTCGTTACGTCGTTGACGTTCCAGCGGGGCTTGCAGGTCGCCTCGATGGCAATGCGGGGGGTCCTGGTGTCAGGTGGGGTGCCGTTGCCAGCCGCGTTGAACATGGTGTCGGACAGGATACGAGTCACAGCTTCGGACCAACTAGGGGTATTCTCTGAAGGGGTAGAACTATGTAAAGTGGTGTTACAGCTGTCCGTCGCCGAATTGGTGGGGGACAAGAGGTTGTCGTGTCGGCGATCACACAAGTAATAGACCAGCACTGACATGAACGCGCCCCCCAAAATAGTTCCAAGTCCGAGGCCGATGGCGAAGTCCGGTTTCTGCCAACAGTTCGTGGCGAAGCCCAGTTTCTGCCAACGGCTCGTGGCTTCTTGGCGTACGTATTGCACCTGGATGCAGTGCTCCAGACACCCCGAGTCCGTGATGATCTTCTTCCACGCCTTCGGCACTTCGGCCAGCAGTTGCTTCCGCTCTTCGTCGTCCAGGTCCCGCACGTCTATCAACTCCAGCTTCGAGCCCGTCTCGCCGTCGTCGGCTGAATTGTACTCCATTTCCGACCACCCCATCAGCTTCTTGCCAAGCGCTTCTTCTAGGATCGAACCAGCAACTGACGGGTCGGCACCTGCCACATGTTTCTTCAGGCCTTTGGCGAGCAGGCGTTCCCCTTCGCTTGTTTTCTGGTCTCGTCGGGCTCATGGTAGACGCGGAGCCGATTCCATCTGCTCAACCAATCGTAGTTGGTCAAGTCAGAGTCGAGGAACTCCGTCGACGGGGCCAAGACCAGAACTTGGGCGGCGTGACTCCCATCGGACATTGTAGCCATCTTGGCCACACAATCGCTGAGCGGCGACATTGTCCCATCCGAACCAAGGAATGCTGCCAGCACCTCGCCTCCTTCAATGCGTACCAAATGTGGACCAGCGGCCGTCTTCATCAGAAATTTCAAACGAAGGAAAAAAAAAACGGATGCCCACGGGCCGCTTCTTGTCTACGCGCGATTCGATCCGTGGGTTGTGTGCTCGCAAGAAGCCACAAAACCGACAATAAGATTCTGCTGATTGGACTCCATTCGGGCCCGGGCGCACATCTCGGGCTGTCCCGGAGGCCCACTGCCGCACACTCGATGAGGACGGACACGCGCCCGAGGGTCCGTCCTCCTCGCTGATCGTCGCCATGCCCTGCGACGTTTCATTGGCTCCGTTACCCTGTGCGCCTCCGTTACCCTGTGCGCCTCCGTTACCCTGTGCGCCTCCGTTACCCTGTGCGCTCCATTGTCCATAAGCACCACTCTTGGCACGAAGTAGTCCAATCAGCACGTTTTGAATACAAAGCTCAGCGTCCAATACCACCTGCGAGAATTTGTGTTCCGATCGGGGTTGTGTCCGGAATCTGATGGTCACCGAGGAGGCGGAGATTACACGTGCTGATTGAAGCCCTGAGTGCAAAGCCCAGCCCCGAGTACAAGGATCATGCAGGCCTTCACAACGACTTACTCCTTGGTCGGCTTCTTCGCATTGTCGGCTGACACATTTATCTGGTCGCATGCGCGCAGAAAATGTGCCAGATCACGACGTGACTGCTAGCTGACTTCAATGAGCCACACCGTAAGAAATTCTTTCGCCCTCTTAACTTCCCCCTTTTGCTCACAGTGTCTCTCCTTCTCTAGCCCGGAATGTCGTATCAGGCGTGGATGGATCGCTGACATACCAGGAGCAGCTCCGAGGGGCTAGGGATGGAGTGCGGAAGAATTCACATCTGAAGGTCGTCGCGCTGTGGGAAGTATTGGTAAGAAACAAGGGAGTGTTCCTGCGCCCAAGGAGTGGGCAGGTGAGGTATGAGGCAAACCTCCAGGTTCAGGGCCGACCGAAGAAAGCAAGGCTGATGCCACTGCCGCGGGCCGCTAAGGAAGAGCTCAGACGCAGGGTAGATTCCCAGCTTTCATACGTTCGAGTAAAACGCCGTGGAACTCTCCTCCGTTCGTAATCCCGAAGACTACCGGGTCGTGACAGGCTAGGTCAATAATCAGATGCGTGATGACGAGTTCCCTATCTGCAACCGTCGTAAGACCAAAAAGTTGTACGGTTCGACTCGGACCACGCGACTCGCTACGTCGTAGCTATTGCAACGTTGGTGAAGACAGCCGCGGTAAAGCGCAACCTGTTTGCAGAAAGTGTAGTAGGAACGTTGGGGATACCCTTCGAAGTGTACACGAACAACGGAACAGAGTTCAGAGGCGACTTCCACGACTACGTGACTTCCTTGCTGAAAATATCACCGACGCACCACACCCACCCAGACAGAATGGACTTGACGAATCGAATCATCGCACCCTTGGGTCCATTATGGTCCAGGATACATCAAGACGGTAACTATTCCGACTTGACGCTTTTGCTAGCCCACACGTCAGAATGGAGAAATACCAGGCCGGCTGGTCGCTACCCAACGTAGTCACTGAAATGCAAGGCTACACAATGCGACTGTACGGACGCTACGGCAGACCAATGTGGCGCGACGAGGTGCAGCGCGGTCGGATATCGAAGTAACCCGCGAATGCAGATGTTGTCAACTCCGGGACTACGTATATCACGTGGCGTGTCGGACCCTTAACGTGGACTAGGTTCGCGTAGGGGGTACCCAGCATGTCGCCGTCGGTAGGCTCGAACTGCGTTGTGTTGTACGGGACGTTGAGGTGGATGAGCGGGTAGTCGAGATGGCACAAAGTCCAGGCAAGCACATCGTCGCGGGACTCTAGAGCCTTGGGGATATATATTATCGCCTTATTCCCGTCTCTGACTCGATGCCGGCGTGTGTTAGCCTCCGGTGTGTCACCACGCAATAGCTCACGTGATCTCGACGTCAATTCTAGCAACTCCTGCGTACACTTCCCCGGACATAGGGAACGCTCCGCGCATGGTATCCACTCGCAGGTTGCGCGACTCATTGGTATATAGAGGGTCTGAATCGGACGTCAAAAACGGGTTGGTACACGCGTAGGACGTCATTATGTACAACATGGCTCGTAGCAGTCTGTCCAGGTCGCTGTGTTGGTGCAGTCGCTGTGTTGGTGCAGTAACGGGTCATCAGGTCCAAACTTCCTCCACCAAGCCAGGATGGAGTACTTGAAGAAATCACTATCACGGTCGGTGTGCGCTCGCACTGGCTCCTGTTCATTAGGTCCGCCTATATTAGCCAGAGCGGTTCTGTACCTCGAGACCAAGTCCACCCTTCCATCCTACGCGACGCCACGAACAGAGACACCGGGATCTGGGGTACCAGCTGGTTCGTGCCATATGTAAGCTCGAGAAGACGCTCCGCTAATCCTCGCATGTCTATGTCTGCGCCCCTGCGCCGGAGTTCGTGGATAGACAGGCGTATTCTACACTGTCCCCCAGGCGTACAATATCTCACGGGACCCCTTATTCCTAATGTGGTTATTTCCAGCACATGGCCAGTCACCAGGCGGCGCAAGCATAAGCGGGCTACCGTATCCCCGTATAGGGCCACGCTGTTGTCAGCATATGGTGATAGCCCGCTTATGCTTGCGCCGCCTGGTGACTGGCCGTATGCTGGAAATAACCACATTAGGAATAAGGGGTCCCGTGAGATATTGTACGCCTGGGGGACAGTGTAGAATACGTCGGCCATCTCAGGCGCGCGCCGGCGTGGCCGCCGCCTACGCGGTTGCTCCTCGTCGTCATCAGGCTCCCCGTCATCAACTTCCCCCTCATCCTCATCGCCATCCACATTTAACCCGGCCTGTATTGCCTCTGACCATTCCTGTTCCGTGGGAGTGCGTTGCGGGCGGTTGCGGGCGGTACCGAAGCTGATGATATCCCACAACTCGACTAGCGGTGTGTGGTAGGTGACATCGCGCCCGTGGCCAGTGCGGACACATGTATCCCGGTACCACGGAGCAGGGTCAGGTCCATAGTACCATGGCATCTGGGCGAGCGCTGCTGCCATCCCCTGGGTTCTGAAGGGTAGGGCCGTCCTCAATGTATCTATCCGTGCGATGGCTGCAACTATTTCCCGGTAGCGATTCACATCTATGCGAGCCTCTATGGTCATGACACCCTTTATAAATCCATCTACACCCATCTTGTCCACCAGCCCGTTGGTTACGCGGTTTCTGTCGACTACACTCGTCTTGGCACACGTCAATGGCATCACCGCCTCAACCGGAGAATTTACGACCACAGGAACGGCTGCACCTTCAACATTCAACGAGGTCTTGGAAGTGGTGGCCTCTAGAAAGTCCCTGTTGTCACGGAATTCCTGGTAGACTCGTGGTGCATCGATGCGAACCCTGACCGCTGTGATCATTCCGTCGATCCCCGGTGGAATTCCTGGTAGACTCGTGGTGCATCGATGCGAACCCTGACCGCTGTGATCATTCCGTCGATCCCCGGTATAATAACTGAATGTGTCGCTTTACACTCAACGACCGCAGATGATCTATCCCCCGGATCGCTAGCACTGCCTGGCTCAGCTCCGGTGGGTACCCCGACAGAGTTGGCAATATGTGTATTCCCCACAGGAGCTTCTCCCATGCTAACGGTTCCTGGAGGAGGTCCTCTATGAACTCCCTGTAGTGGAGCGCCCGTGTGTCCATGACCATTTGTTGCCAGTCCTGCTGGTCTGGGGGAGTCTGGGGCGGACTGCGGCGAGGCGGGGACCGACTGGGGCGTTGCGGAGGAGTGGCTGGGCGAGGCG